ATTTCTTGTGAAAATTATTCTTTCTCGTGGCTTTGAGTGGCTTTGGAGAGAGGAAGGAGAGGTGAGGAAGAGGAGAGAAAGGAAGAGAGATATTGTTTTTTCTTGTAAACATCGAGACGTTCGACGGTGTAATTCCTCGAAATAATAAAATCCTATGCAGCTCTGTGGATGTAGGCAATTTGACGAACCACGTAAATCTTGTGTCGTCTTTTTCTGGTGTAAATTTTTATTTGTTTTCGCTTTATTACCGTCGTGTAATTTTTTATATTTTTTTCAATTTATTACCATCATTTTTTATAACAATTGGTATCAAAGCCCCGGTTCAGATCTGAGGAAGAACGTTGGTTGGAGACGAAGTAAGGGTTTCGAGGATCGAGAAGTTCGATGGACAGATTTTTGGTTACTGGAGGATGTATATAAATGACTACCTCTATGGGAAGAAACTTCATTTTCCATTACGGGAAAGCGACCAAAGAAGATAGAAGAGGCTGATTGGAATCTGTTGAATCGACAGGTTTTGTGGGTTATTCGATTAACCTTATCAAGGTTTGTTACCCACAACGTCATAAAGGAGAGGACGACAGCAGATCTTATGGAGGCTTTATCAGGTATATATGAAAAACAATCAGCAAATAACAAAGTGCACTTGATGAAAAATTTATTCAACCTGAAGATGGTGGAATGTGTGTTTGTTGGTCAACATCTGAATGATTTTAGCACTATCACAAGTTAATTGTTTTCCATTGAAATTGATTTTGACGATGAGATACATGTGTTGATATTGTTGGCTTCATTGTCAAATAGCTGGGAAGCCATGAGGCCGGTAGTTAGCAACTCTGCAGGTAAAACTAAGCTGAAATACAATGATATTCGTGATTTGATTTTAGCTGAAGAGGTGTGCAGAAAAGATTATGCCGAGACCTCGGGTTCGAGTTCGACACTGAATATTGATTCCAGAGAGAGATCACATGACCGGAAATCAAACAGAGGAAGGTCCAAATCAAAGCACAAAAGCAAGAGTAAGTCAAAGGCTGATCAGTAAGCAACATACTGGAATTGTGGCAAAACTAGCCACATAAAGAAGAACTGCAAAAATCTTAAGAAGACGGAGAATGTCAGTGCTAATGATGTAACT